CTCCGTTGGTCGATGTGGGATGTTACAATCCACCCCCCTTAGGGGCCCGACGTCCTCATCGGCACACTCGCACCACACGGCAGAGTGGCTCTGATACCATTTGTCACGACCCAACTCCCCTAGCACGATATTGTCCGCTTTGAGCCCTTCTCTCTGCCCTCACGGTTTTGTTTCTGGGAGCTCACGAGGCTCACGAGCAACTTCCCAGTGTGTCACCCATCCTGGGATTGCTCTAGCCCCCAACTCGCTTAACTTCAGAGTTCCTATGACTCCGAAGCCAGTGAGCTCCCAAAAGGCCTCGTGCTAGGCAGAGAAGTGCCCACACATTTAAAGCACTTCACCTTTCCCTCCCCGAGTGATGTGGGATTGCTCACCGTTCTTGTTTCCCCAAGACACGGGTCTTACAATCCACCCCCCTTGGGGCCCAGCGTCCTCGCTGGCACACTTCCGGTCGGGGTCCGGCTCTGATACCATTTTGTCACGACCTGACTCCCCTAGCACGATATTGTCCGCTTTGGGCCCCCCTATCTGCCATCACGGTTTTGTTTCTGGGAACTCACAAGCAACTTCCCAGTGGGTCACCCATCCTGGGATTACTCTAGCCCCAACTCGCTTAAGTTCGGAGTTCCTAAGAATCCGAAGCCAGTGAGCTCCCAAAAGGTCTCGTGCTAGATAGAGGCGGGCATGTACATATAAGGTACATCACCCCATCTCCGTTGGTTGATGTGGGATGTTACAATCCACCCCCCTTAGGGGCCCGACGTCCTCATCGGCACACTCGCACCACACGGCAGAGTGGCTCTGATACCATTTGTCACGACCCAACTCCCCTAGCACGATATTGTCCGCTTTGAGCCCTTCTCTCTGCCCTCACGGTTTTGTTTCTGGGAGCTCACGAGGAACTTCCCAGTGGGTCACCCATCCTGGGATTGCTCTAGCCCCCAACTCGCTTAACTTCGGAGTTCCTATGACTCCGAAGCCAGTGAGCTCCCAAAAGACCTCGTGCTAGGAAGAGAAGTGCTCACACATTTAAAGCACTTCACCTTTCCCTCCTCGAGCGATGTGGGATTGCTCACCGTTCTTGTTTCCCCAAGACACGGGTCTTACATAAATCTTACCCAAGATTAAATTCCCTTTGTTGACGAAGAACTTGTCCAAGTCCTTACCCAATATTAAATTGGGAGATTCACTATTATACCCAATATAGAAGCTCAAATTATAAACATACCATATATGACATGGACTTTATATACACACCCAAAGTTCATTTATAACATAACAAAAAGGCTTTTAACTTCTTTTAAATTACAAAATTGTCATTGATTTCTTAAAACAAATCCAACTCCAAAACATATAAAAAAAAGCCCAAAACACTCAATAGGGCATCAAAGTAATTTAATAATCAAAATTAAATTCAATAGGGCCAATTGTCATTTTTTGAGTTTTTTTTTTGTTTGTTTATAGAAATTAAATGATGTAGGGTTTATTTATAGTTTTAGTGCTAAGAATGGGTATTTGACTAAATATCCCATCCTTCCATCCTTCCATCCTTCCATCCTTCCTCCCTCAAGAAAGAGTTGTCCATCCATGCCATACAAATTACAATTAACCTAGCTGCATCGATTATCATTTTGCTAAGAATGGGTTTAATTTGATACTCAATAGGGCATCAAAGTAATTTAATAATCAAAATTAAATTCAATAGGGCCAATTGTCATTTTTTGAGTTTTTTTTTTTGTTTGTTTATAGAAATTAAATGATGTAGGGTTTATTTATAGTTTTAGTGCTAAGAATGGGTATTTGACTAAATATCCCATCCTTCCATCCTTCCATCCTTCCATCCTTCCTCCCTCAAGAAAGAGTTGTCCATCCATGCCATACAAATTACAATTAACCTAGCTGCATCGATTATCATTTTGCTAAGAATGGGTTTAATTTGGCAGTTGCTTGGTATAGTTGACAAAGGTGACAAATGCAACAACTGACAGAGGAATTAATGCATAATTTAGGTTCAAATTGTTCTTCTTTATTAATAAGGAGGGAGTCAAACTTAGTCATGCATGCAAGTTGCTACTTTACTAAATGCTTACAATATATTCTCTTCTTCTTCTTTTGGTGTGGATATAAAGTCAATCAAACTCCATAGCTAAGCTGTCTTACAATTTTAAATTCATTAATTAAGCTTCTATAAATATCTTCTCCAAGTATCCCGAAACCATTGACCATAATTTCCAATTAATCTAACAACAACTTCTTTCTTTTGGCACATACACTGAAATTTTGACAAACAAATATTGCGCATTTTATTATGTTATGCATTATGCTACCGCATTAATTTCATTAATTTTTGGGCACAACAAGTTGTTAACTTGTGAGTGGGACGCACCAAAGTTGCTACAATATTATGTTATACAATTAGTATCTTTTTAAGCTCTAAGGTTACATTCTTTTTCTAATTAAATGTATTTGGTTCCTACTAAAACAATGGGAGAGGGAAAGAGACAAATCGATGATTGTTTATACAAGTCCGAACTGACGCCGGGTAGAATGGTGATTATTCTACAGGCTAGTCGTTTCAAGAACTCCCCAGGAAATATCACAATGATCTCACGTAAATTAGAGAGAGGTTCTCTAAATAAATTCGGAAATCCGAATGAATAAAATTGAATAATAAAAGTCTGCTAAATCAGTCCTCAAGCCGGACTTAAATAGCTCTAAAAATCCGAAAGTAATTCCTAAAAGAAAAAGAGTTTAAACTGAAACAAACAACTTCCTAAAAAATAAGAGTTCAATGCGGAATGAAATTAAGAGTTCAAAGTTACGGCTTTCCGGACGTCTTCCTGTCTTTGCGTTGATCTTCCAGCTCGTGGTAGTTCAACGCCATCACTGTGCAATCAGACAACTCAGCATCATCTGTATCAGATGCCCCTGCATCA